ATTTAAATTGATTTATGTGGGTGTTACCGATAATGAAAGTCTAGTCATTGCGGGCATTGAGATTTTTGGCTCCGTGATCGTAGGTTGCCACAGATTTGTTTTGAAGAATTTAAATAAGGGTTAATATCACGAAAAACCCTGAACTAGTACACTTGTGACAGATTTATCCCAAACTATTTTTTTGACCATAAAAAACCCCAAACTGGTACATATGTGACAATTTTACCCCGAACTATTTTTTTGACCACTAAAAGCCCCAAACTGGTACACCTGTGACAATTTTACTCCGAACTATTTTTTTGACCACCAAAAATCCCAAACTGGTACACCTGTGACAATTTTACCCCGAACTAATTTTTTAATATTATTTTTTTTATTTTTCGAATTTTTTTAGTTTTTCTTTTCTTTTTCCTTTCCTTTTCTTTTTTTCTTTCCTTCATCTTCATTGGACCAACAATGGATTGTTATATTGCAATTGATACCACAATAACGTGACACGTAACATAAATGCTACATTTTGACCCAAAAAAAAAACATAAACGCTAAATGAAAGACTTTCTTTTATATGCATGAATTTTCATGCCAACCACTTTTTTCTACATTTAAATGTCTCGCGAAAAAGGCATTATATTGTTGTCGTGTCTTTCTTATTTTTGGGTGCAAGTGGATAGGCAAACTGATGGGGTCCAACGTAGGCTTGTTACCTAAGCTTGGAGTACAGCTAATCAACAATTTCTATACGTCTTGCTTGCCAATTTAATTTAACAGATTAATTTACAAAATTAGTATATTTTATATATAAGATGAGAGATATTATATGTGCATGGCGATTCATAAATCAATATGATCACTTGAAATATATAATAAATAAAACGTGAGACATTTAAATGTAGAAAAAAGTGGTTGTCATGAAAATTCATGCATATAAAAGAAAGTCTTTCATTTAGCGTTTATGTTTTTTTTTTGGGTCAAAATGTAGCATTTATGTTACGTGTCATGTTATTGTGGTATCAATTACAATATAACAATCCATTGTTGGTCCAATGAAGATGAAGGAAAAAAAAGAGAAAAGGAAAGGAAAAAGAAAAGAAAAGAAAAACTAAAAAAATTCGAAAAATAAAAAAAATAATATTAAAAAATTAGTTCGGGGTAAAATTGTCATAGGTGTACCAGTTTGGGGTTTTTGGTGGTCAAAAAAATAGTTCGGGGTAAAATTGTCACATGTGTACCAGTTTGGGGTTTTTGGTGGTCAAAAAAATAGTTCGGGGTAAAATTGTCACAGATGTACCAGTTTGGGATTTTTTATGGTAAAAAAAATAGTTTGGGGTAAATCTGTCACAAGTGTACCAGTTTAGGGTTTTTCGTGGTATTAACCCTTTAAATAAAGGGTTAATATTGCCAAAAATATCAATTTGGTACTTTCATACCACATTTATACAAATTAATTTTCGTGAGACAAAAATATCAATCCAGTACACCCATGCCACATTCACCCCAAACTAAATTTAATATCACAAAGAACTCCAAATTGGTACACACATGCCACATTTACCCCAATTTTATGCTAAGATTTTGGTAAACGTGACATGAGTATATCGGTTTGGGCTTTTTTGAGATACGAAATTAGTTTGAGGGTGAATGTTGCATGCTTTTACTAATTTTGAGCTTGTTATGATATGAAAATTCATTTTGGGTAAATGTAACACGAAGAGAATTTGAGTATTCATGAAGATGCGCGTGTGAAGGTGAAAAGTTTATTGCAAAATCAAAGATTAGTGGGACGAGAGTTGAGTTACGTGTGTAGAAGGGTTAGAAACGCCGCAACATGATTTAAGAACCACATTTTCGATTAGGTCCTATAGGTTCTTTTATCACTTGATTTCCTAAAACTCTAGAGACGTAATCAGGTGAAAGATTTGCATGATATCGTGCCACAGCCATGACGCTGTGCCTGTGCTTGTTTATTATGCCCCGGCAATGACTCTCTATGCCATGAATGCAAGTATTAAGGATGTGCAACCGAATTGGGTTTACCCAGAAATAAGACCGGATCACTCGAAAAACAGGTCCGGGAACCGGTTCTTGTTTGAACTGGTCCGGGAATAGGTTCCATTTTTTGGGAACCGGTTGGAGCTAGTCTGGTTCTCGATTCCAAGTAAAGACCCACCCATACCGGTTTTGGAACTCGTTTTTAGATTGTGTTAAAAAAAAAAATCGTAGATCATACTATTACTATATTTTGGGGAAAAGTGCCAAAAAAGTCCTAAACCTTTTGCATTAGTGCCAATTTAGTCATAAACCTTTTTTTGGTGCCAATTCAGTCCTAAACCTTTTGCATTGGTGCCAATTTAGTCCTAAACCTTTTTTTGGTGCCAATTCAGTCTTAAACCTTTTAAATTGGTGCCAATTCAGTCCTAAACCTTTTGTTTTTGTGCCAATTTAGTCCTTCCGGTCAATTTTAACCTGATTTTGCCGACGTGGACTCCTGCCGGCCGGCGGCCGGTCACCGGTGCTGACGTGGCGCCGACGTGGACAACTTTAATATTTTTTTAATATTTTTTTGAATTTTTCTTTTTTTCTTTTTTTTTCCACTTTTTTTTTTTATCTCCCCCTCCTCCCTCTGGCCGGTCGCCGATCCGGCGATCGGCCAGAGGCCAGAGCTCGCCGGCCACTGGCGAGGGCGGCCTCGCCCGGCGAGGGTGAGCCTCGCCTTGGTCGGGCGAGGCTCGACCTCCCCAGATCCGGCGAGGTCAGGCCTCGCCCGACCATGGCGAGGCTCGAGCCCTCGCCGAAGGCCGCGGCGAGGCCCGACCTCGCCGGATTTTGCGAGGTCGCCGGGCAAGGCCGCCCTCGCCAGTGGCCGGCCAGAAGGAGGAGGGAGAGACCAAAAAAAAAGGTGGAAAAAAAATAAAAATTCAAAATAATATTAAAGTTGTCCACATCGGCGCCACGTCAGCGCCGGTGACCGGCCGGCAGGCGTCCACGTCAGCAAATTCAGGTCAAAATTGGCCGGAATGACTAAATTGGCACAAAAACAAAAGGTTTAGGACTGAATTGGCACCAATTTAAAAGGTTTAGGACTGAATTGGCACCAAAAAAAGGTTTAGGACTAAATTGGCACCAATGCAAAAGGTTTAGGACTGAATTGGCACCAAAAAAAGGTTTATGACTAAATTGGCACTCATGCAAAAGGTTTAGGACTTTTTTGGCACTTTTCCCCTATATTTTGGATTGTTGTTTTTGGTAGATAGTAATTTTATTGCTCATCGTAAGGATTGTTACTTTTGGCAGATAGTGATTTTTATTATTCATATTTTATTTTGAATTGTTCCATTGCTACTCATATTATTTTGTTGGAAAAAATGAAACCAAAAAAAGGAACAAAAGAAAGCAAGTTTTCAGGTAGACCCTTAAACTAGACCGAAAAAACATGATAGGTTCCAAAACAGGTTCCAGGACAAACAAGTTAGGTTTAAGGTTTCAAAAACTGATAACCAGTTATAATATGGTCTATTCCAAGTTTCAAGTTTGGAATCTACCCACCCTGAAATTGACCATCCCTAGCATATATGCTAGATGACGTGTTGTTTATGTATCAAGTGACTACATGTCATGTGATGAATTATCGTACGCAATGACTCATATTTCAATGAGAAAATATTACGTGCATTTCACACACCATGTAGGATTTACAATAAACCATACACTGATCGACACGTGTTCATATTGGGCCCACCCGTCAGAAAATTGTCTCCCCCTCCCCTCTCTCTCACGCGCTCTGCTCTCCATCTCTGCAACCCCACGCCCAACCCCCCACTCTAACCTTCGCTCAACACTTCTTCAAGCTCAAGTCCTTCAAGCTCGACTCCGCCATCTCCGCCTGCACCGTATCCATGCTCACCACCCTGACCGCCGCGCCTTCCCCCTTCTCCTCTGCAACCGCAGCCACAACTGGTGACCTCAAAGACGGCGAAGAATCACTCCCAAATCTCACGGTCGGTCCAGAAGCTGCTGCAGTTGGTCTTCAAGCCGAAGACGAGCTCGACCCCGGCTTTCGGCGTCGACGATTGGTACTCTCGTGACGTCAGCGAGGACGACGGGTTTTATGTCGTGTACGACAAGTTCCATGATTCCGGAGTCCCCGAAGGTTTAATACCTCGAAAGTTGTCGCCGGAGATGGATCGGAGGCGGAGGCGGAGGCGGTGGCGTGGTTCGTTGGACTAGAGAGCAGAGCTAATCGTGAATCGGGCATGAGCGAAGGTTTTAGAGAGAGAGAGAGTCAGGCATGAGCGAAGGTTTTAGAGAGAGGGGGTTGGGCGTGGGGTTGCAGAGGGCTTGGGGTTGCAGAGATGGAGAGCAGAGCGCGTGAGAGAGAGGGGAGGGGGAGACAATTTTCTGACGGGTGGGCCCGATATGGACACGTGTCGATTAGTGTATGATTTATTGTAAATCCTACGTGGTGTGTGAAATGCACCTAATATTTTCTCATATTTCAATGCATCGTGTGATGACTTGGCATGCGAAGATGGTGTGAGTGACGTGATGTGTCGCGAATAGAAAATACCTCATTGTTAGAAAAAAAAAGTCCCAAAAAAGTAAAATACAAAACCTTATCCAATCAACCTAAAGCCGGGTTTTTTCGGCCAAGGTATAAAATGTCCAAAAAGCCCACTTTCCCCCCCGTAACTTGCTCATCACGCAGCACCTGGAGGGAGGGAGAAAAGAAGGCATGATCGACCCATTCCGCAGATTCACACTCCGTGGGAATCAGCAAAAACCCTAGCCTTTCTTCTCTCCCTTGAAATCCTAGTCCTACCTCCTCCCCCAAGCAACGCCCGGTCCCACTCGTGCTCTGTAGATACAGATGTGTATATAATGTATCTCCCTTTGATCTTCCATGTCAAGGAAAATTACACACTTCCTTCTCTTTCTCGCTCACGTTTCCAGGCCCTGAAGCTCTTGGAGGTTTTTCCTACGGGATTTTGGAACGTGGGTGTTCTCTTTTTTTTATTGAATTTCTATCGACGTTGTAGTTTGGCTGCGTGAGGCGGGAAGGGCGTGATCGCATCTGCTGAGTTACGTGCTTGGTCGGTTCTGGGCCTCGGCAACTTTTTTTTTGTTGGGTATTTGGTTCTCTGTTGAGGTTTGTTATTCTGGGTATCTGGAATTTGATCGTGTGTGCGCTGTTTAAAGTTGCGGGTTTTCCTTCGGCTTTGGTTTCGTTGAATGGGTTCGCATATTGGGGATGAAGTTGTTCTTGCTTTATGTATCCCGCCTTTCGGAGGTAGGAGTTTGTGCTGTGTAGGAGAAATTTCACATATTGTATCTGTCCTGCTGTTTGGTGCTGGCTTGAATGGACTGTGCAGTCCATCTCGGACATCTTTTAAGTGGAGGCACTGTGAGAGCTAAATTAGAGTCCGGAGTGACGTGATTCGCCGCTTGAATCCAACATGAATTTAACTCCAAAAGTAAAGGTTCAATGTTGGGCTCAAAACACGTTGAGGATTGGACTGTATTCTGACGCTCCACCTCAAGCTTGAGCTTGTTTTATGTCAAAGGGACGATTGAGCTACATAGCTATTGACGCTTTTTCATGTCAGTGGGGCGATTGAGCTATTTGGCGAGCTCTAGGAATCTATTTTGGGAATTGGTGGTGCTAAAATGTTCGTTTTACATGAATCATCAATGCTAATCATTAGGGAAGTCCAGTGTCTGCCCTGCCAGCTCGGGTTCTCTTGTCAGACTTAGGGCTTTCAAGAAGCTGGCAGTACGTCGTGCTGTTTAGAGGAATTAGGGCACTTTTTTCTTCTGATATTGTTGCCAAGTTGCCAATTCAATAGCGATGAGATGATGCGTGAGTGCTGATGATGTAGTTTAAATGCATGGACACGGTCGAGTGCAAAAAAGAATAAAATAATACCCTTACTGCTCTTCACTAGATCCATGCATTAATTTATTGCCTCTCTGGTTAACTTTCCTGTAAGTCTGTAATCTGCCTTTGCTTTTCATGTCAGACATGCTTTGATCAATTTCTTGGCATAATCGAGGATTCAATTTCCTGTGCCTGCATTTCTAAGTTACATGCTGTATGATTGAGTTCATCTGATGTGTGTTCTTGTGCCTAACAGATCTCTGCCTATGGAGGCACAGCGTCTGTCTGTTGATTCAGAGTCAGTTACTAGTGAGAATTTGGTGAATGAACTGGGAACTGCTTTTGACGGTTGCCTACGCATTCAAAATGCTCATGAATGTGAAAGCTCTTCCAATGGGGTTGATCTGAGTGATGATGAGGATGCTGATGAGCTCGAGGAGTATAGACGATCAGATCAAAAAAATTTGGACAATGTAATCCGGCCTTCTCCAAGCAAGCTTATGTCTCCACGTATATCTTCTGATGAAGAGGATGAGGAAGAGCGACCAAACTTAGAATTGCAAGAACTCTGTTCTGAAGAAGTTGTGGATAATGCCGTTGGATGCTCAGTGTCCTCGCCTGTAAGTGGCGCTGTTTGTGTTTACTTCGAGCTTTCTGTTTTCTTGTTGGGTACACATTAGCTGTAAAACGTATTAAAAGATGCTTGTGTATAGGAACTTGTGCAGGTATTTCTTGGACTTCTGGGTTTGTGCTTTTTCTGTCTGTCTGACTGATAATCTCCTGGCTTCGACTCTGTAGACCAGTTTGTGATCCACTTGGATGATTCGTAATAGATGGATTGGAGCCAAAAAAATTAGTTCCTTAACTAAACTGTTGCAGCCAGCATATTAGAATTTGGTTCTTCTTTTAGTATGTCATTTGATGCACATGCTTGGCTGTCTGCAATACATGGGCATATGACTGTTGCTTTCACCTGGTATTTATTATGATGAGATTGTGTCACTTTTTGTCAATCCTTTCCAGTACAATGTCAATCTTTTAGAGGGATACTACAACAGAAAAATTAAATAAGCTTTATACCAGTAAGTGGGTAAATCTTATAGTGGGTTGGATATATAAAATTACAGCTAGACATTCATCCGGTCCCCCCTATATCTTCTCTGATATGACCAACAAACCATTAATTTTCTGTGCTCAGATGTTTCTCATCTTTATCCCTGTGTATCACTTCTCTCAGGCTCCTCTAGAGCTGGTATCTGCCTTTAAAGGTAGTCGCGAGAAACAAGGGGGAGCTCCGGGGAAGCTCACAGTTACGTGGGCTCCTGATGTTTATGATCCACGTCCAACACAACTATTAGATATAGTTACCCGAGGGACAAAGCAGAAAAAGGTTCCCAAGAAAGAGAAAGTAGGCGTAAAGGAAGGCCAGAGGGGCAAAGAAACCACACGAGGTGCTGGTGGAGGTAGAGACTCTTTACGAGGGGGCAGCAGCAGCAAGGACAAGAGAAAGAAGCAGAATCATAGAACCGGGAAATCTGGTAGGTCGTATAGTTTTGTGGATGACAATGGATCAGATAACTATTCCTACTGATGGTGGCAAAATTTACTTGAAAGCTGAGATGAGTATGGTTGTCTAGGGAGGAAAAATTAGTTACTCTTCTCCATCTTTTCAGTTAGTTAGGAGGCTGAGGAACAGGAAAATATATCGCAGGGTTAAATTTTTTGGGGCATAATTTTATAAACTTTTAGTTTGATATGCTGGGAAACATTTTCCTGACTGGACGGGCTCTAGTTGAGTAAATATTATAGTTCTTCAAAATTTAGCGGAGCCCCTCCTGTCCTGGGGAGCTGCCCTTGTACATATTTTTGCATCTCTGCGCTTTCTTGGTGCCGGCTAATGAAAATAGGAAGGAAAGATCTTCTTGGTGTTGCTGCAGTTCTCAAGTCTATTATAAGTAGCATGCAATTCGAGTTGATATTGCATCTTGTTCTAGTGTGAAAAACGTTGTCATTATGTTATGTCATGCCCTTTGGATGAGCTACAACTTTAGGGGAGCTTTTGGCACTTTCATTTCCCTCGTACTCTTGTATCGAATTTCGAAAATGTTTTGTCATAAAGTTTGTACGTGAACTTTTATCGTTGAGTTGAATCTATATAAAGATTCAGCGTTCTGGATTGCGGCAAGCATTCTGGATTGACATCGAGAGGAACTGCCTATGCATTGTACTCTCATTCAACGATGCTTCAATAGCCCTGGAAACAAAAAGGTACAAGTATGGTACCTAAAGTTGCACGGTTTTTTCTTTCAATATGGTCTCCGAACTTGTTATTTACGTTAACTTGTGTAATTTATTTTCAATCAAGTTACAAATTCCAATTAATTGAAACTCTGCACCGATTGATGCTAATTCACTGTCGTTAAGTATGCTAATTGATCTGGTTGGTTGAAATTGAGTTTCAACGGTGACATCGATTTTTCCCCATTATTTTGGTTGGCACCCATGGTTCATATCAATTTCAAGTCAGAATCAAAGAACACGGGATCTACATTAAAAAATTCCGTAAGCTCAAGTGTTTGGAACAAATCATGAATTCGGAAATCATAGTGAAAAGAAGAGGGCAGGATCAAATATGTACCTTTTCCTAAATGGGCAAGTACACAAGCATCCAAATGCGTGGATGGCTAGGTAGAGAGAGAATACAAGGAGAGGAGCTGGAATTCAGACAAGGCAACCAAAGCAAAGAGGAACATTAGAAGCAGATGATTTATATATATTAAGGTAATACACGAAGAGTTAACAATACTGATCCCAACCAGTGGTTTGATCCAGTTTTCAATTAATCCAAGAGTATCAGGCGCCAAATAATTTTAGAGAGTCGAACCACAATCAAGGATGGGAACAATGGACACAACAAGCATCAACCACACCATCCAACAGTCTTATTGGTCCTGAAACCAGTTTCCGAAAATTGCGGCTCCTGTTGAGGTGGAGGCCTCGGCTCCCTTGGTTTCGCAGGGTCAACAAAAATAACCCATCCGTCTAGGAATTTAGCATTCATTCCTTCTCTGGCTTTCTCTGCTTCTTCGATTGTTTCATATGTGACAAAGCCAAACCCCTTCGATCTGCCAGACATCCTATCTGTAATAACCTTTGCTGCAAGATCACGAGATGACATACCAGAACAAGTAAATTTACGATCCAATCTTATCAGATAGATGCCCCAAAAGAACAAAATATCAATTAATCAAGGGCGTACCTTCAACAAGATTTCCAAAAGGTGCAAATGCCTCCTGAAGCTTATCATCTGACGTTAATCTAGAAAGGCCTGTCAAGCACACCACAAAAGGGCATCAACTCAACCATACAGTACGACTTCTATAAGCAAATCTCATTACTGCTCTTACAAATAAAACAAGGGAAAGTTAAAGGCAGAAGAATGAAACTGTATGATTTTAAATAACTTTGATGAAAAGGCCAAAGTTAGACCACCTTTCAAGATTAAATCATGGATATATACAACGGAAAAGATTCTACCAGCCACCCTCCCAAATGATGTTCATCTGATTGGTTACCATTGTTTGTGCATACATGAGTACAGCAAAATAACATAGTAGACAGACTAAGGTCGGGCAGCTGACTCTTCCCCTTCCATGTTTGGAAGATGTAGTCCTTATTAAATAACTTTTCTTTGGATAAACAAGGGTGATGTTCGAAAAGAACACATATCTAAATTTACTGTAGCAGGCCCTAATTACAAGACTATTAGAGTTGAAGCACCCAGCAACAAGAATAGGAAGCAGCAGGACAAGCACATAAAACAGAAGGAAACAACTTTAACCTTGTCTCCAACCGATACATAGCTGCTTTCCTCTCCTATGCTCAGGAAAACCGAACTAAAAAAGCTCTATAACTTCTCTGCCATTTCTCTATGAAAAAACTTGTCAACATCAAATGCTAAAGTGGCCAAGTTACTCCCATATTTTCTCAAATTTGGGCCAAAGTCCAACCACCACCTTCTCCTCTTCTAGGAGTAATGTCATTGTCCTTTCTCATACTTACATCCATGAACCAAAGCATCTCTAATTAACAGATTCCGATATAGTAAATAGTTCAACATGGCCATACTTGTCAATAGATTTACATCATGACAGTGCTCAAACAGGTCAATCATGTCGATTAACCAACGCCACAGAACTAAAAAAGCAGGTGCTCAGGCTCATACAATAAGGGCATTCCAGTGCACAAGGCTCCACAGTCCACATTGTGGGGTAATATCATAAAAGTCAGACATGCCACTCCCGCTTGTCTTGAATCCTTTCCTAGAGTCCTAGATGTCAAGTACTGACTCTCATTCTCTAATATTTGCCCTTTTCTCCAGGGAAAGAGTAGGATCAGGTAAATGACACAACAAAAGCTCTAACTCAAGAGCTATTCATGGATAGGAGAAAAAAAGAACGAAATAATAACAATAGAATAGAGGAATACCATCCAGAGAAAACAATCAAAAACCAGGCAGCCTTAAGATTTTGGAGTATCGCAAAGGTATAAACACTCATCTCTGATGAAATGTAGATCCAATTCTAAGTAACATATAAGCACATTGTTTTTATTGCAGTTCAGTTAAGCTAGTGACATTGTCACCGTTGTGGAAGTCTTGGTACTAAGGGGATCCCGACAACACCAACCATCCTCCTACGAAACCCAAAAAAAAAAAAAAAAGCTATGATACCTAATCAATAAGAATTCCACCACAGAAAATTACACGGCGAAAATGCCCGCAACCAACCACTTGCATCATCTCGACGGCAAGCAAAAATTGAACTGGCCATTCAACCAAAACGATAAGAGTGCACATCCCATTGCCATGTTATCCCTTTTCCAAGATTTCCAAGAACCCACGTAAAAGAACCTACAAGGCAATTAAAAGTTCTCCCCTACCTACCCTCCATTTCCTGGCACTCTAACCATGAACCTACACATCGACCGCACCTCTCATTAAAACTTCAATTCAGCTAAGTTAACAGAGCTTTAGATCTTCAATATCACAGCCTTCTAGCCAATTCCAAGACGTATAAAGCTTTAGAGCCTTAGACGTACTCCCACGCCATCAAACCGACATGAGGCAGAACCAACTCGTCCGACAAAAATCCCGCCCATGAAAACATAACACGAAAGAAAATCAGCACTAAAAAAGACTCTGATCTTAGCTTCCAGACAAACTCGGGCGAAAGGAAATCAGATGAAAACGGGAGGGAAGCACGAAACGCAAGAATCACGCAGAAGGGATGAAACGCGCACCGCTGACGAATAATTTGGGCGCCGTGAGCGTTGAATAGAAGCTGCTCAAAGAGGGCTGAGCTTGGAGGGCTGATGGAGACACGGCGGACCTCGCGAGCGCGTTGCGAATGCTCGAGAAGAACGCCATTGAACGGGGTTGGAAGAAGCTGGAGAGAATTTGGAAAGAGGGCTTAATTAGGGTTTAGGGAAGGAATAGCGGTATATAAGCGTTGGAAAGAGATTTTTTGAATTTAGTTTTTAGTCCCTTATGGTTTCTAACTTTTCAGATTGACTCCTCGGAGTCTTCTAGTAAATTCCAAATTGGCACGTAAACCCTGGTTCTTGTGAGATTCCGGCGATGCCTATTTTGACTGGGGATGAAAATGAAAATGCCTGACTCATCCAATTCCGCGAATTCAATTTTTAGAAGATACTTGATCGGAAATTGTCTATCTAATATGTGGCAACGAGCATTGTTTCTTAGATTGAACAAAGCATATGGACGTCCAAAGAAGATGCATCGTGAGTTGCCCATCTATAATCCCCGATTGGATCGTAGATTGTAGCGAGCTCAAAGATTTGGATGCAGAACGACACTGGTCCGACTGGCAAGCACTTCTTTGAACGAAGAGAAAATTATCATTCTAAACACCATAATTTAATTGTAATGTGAATAGATTACGACACTTTGTGTCAATTTTTATAATGTAAATATATCTATTTCGAGTCATGATCCTGAACTTTGAAGTATCATATCTAACCCAAAAAAAAAAAACACGCGTATCCTCGTCAAGACTTATGTTTCCAATAAAGATCCAGTTATATGGTAGAAAAGTAAAGTTGACCATAAAAATATATATGGGAAATAACATGAGTAATACTCCTATAATCCTACTCAAATTCGAAAGTATCCTTAAATCATTGATTTCGAGGTAGCCTAAACTTTTAAGAAATTGATTCACACCACGGCCGTTCATTTGACCATCAGTTAGGCTTTTGTAGACCATTTGTACTTTTTATTCGGCTAACAAAAAGTCCTTCAACAACACCATTGGAGTTGTGACGAACAAATAGCTAACACGTATACATGTCTCACTTGGATCATAAGAAAGTAGAGAGAAGCTCTAGAATACTTGTATTGCTCAAACGAAATTGAATGATACATATGAAGGGGAGGAATCTCCTATTTATATAAAAGTCATTTTAATTACAATCATTAATCTTCCACACGATCTAACGGTAGAGGATGTCAGTCAATCCTTATCTAATCAATTCGACATTAGAGATCCACTTGATCTGAGGTGGAGGATATTAATCCCCTTCACATTAATCCAACGATGGAGATCAGCTCTATTCAACGGTTGAAGGCATCAATCCTTGTCAAGTAAATTTGATTTTAGAGATAGAGTCCTTTTGAAATCTAACGGCTTTGATAAGTCCCTTCATATCGATGGCGTGGCACGGCGTGGCAACCCATTTGATTGATGACGAACATCCTTTGGTCCGTGACATGCACGCGATTGTGAAACTCAAGCACCTGCCCTTTTTTTGCTTTTTTTAGTGTTGCGGATGTTGTGCTTACTTGACACCACAAGTGAAGTCGAAGTAGTTGCAAAGTCGCATGGGCACTATATTTGTCCGAACAAGCATTCTTAGCTGGACGTCATCGTTCCAGCGAACCAATCTATCCGTAGAACGAACAAGGAACCATCCAAGGCCTACCTTGAACCGACTGGAAGTTAGGAAAAATTTCGAATTTCTCGTGAGTATAATAATGATCACTAGCATTATTTTCCTACAAAGAGAATGACTAGAATTATTTAGTGCATATTTCCACATTCTATATAGGGTGTATCTGATTTAGCATGCTTTAAACATATTGAGACATGATTAAGGTCAAAATCCTGATTGTTTCCTCAGATATGATTTTTCCTCTTCTAGTTAAGGTCAATATGCTTCTGCACTTTTTGCTGCCACATGGATAGAGATAGGCTCGACATTGTAGGCTTACGAGCAAGCGGACGTTACCATCAAGCGAGATAGATAAATGACGAAAGCATGTAGGGAAAATTACCACCGAGTGCCTGTCTAGAAACGTTTCAACAAAATCTTCATTCGGCGCAACTATGATTCATAAACGTGCAGAGAGAGTACGACTTCATTCGACGTTATCTCAGAATGATGTCTAGATTTTCAAGCTTCGAGAACATCAACAAAACCATAGACAACTCGAGCAGAGACGAATTAGATAATCAGACATAAATCCCAAATGAGACCGGCCAAACTCGGTGGGTGATCTAGGTCACTGTCTGCTTGAAAAAAATGCAGTCTTATTTAGTCTCGTCGCAAGCAAAACATACCAGAAACACAAACTTGACATATGCATGCGTAATAAAAAATGCGAGCACGCATAGACTTTCCTTTTTACAAGTCGCCTATCTAACCTAAAAACATTGCTTTCCCTCACTATCTAATTCTAAATCTAATGTCAACACAAGCAAATATCCTACCGTGCAGGATTTCGGCATCAAAGAAGACCCCAGAGTAACAAGAATGTAAAAGCAGGACTAGATTCTACATGAAGGAATCGAAGAAAGAAGAACTAACAAATATATCAACCTTGACATATCTTCCACCAAAACGGAAAAAGCTGTTAATCTCGCTTTGCCGGCACCTCCTTCTCCAACATCGATGTCCCCTTGAAAATAGTAAGCTGATGATCCCCCATGTGCTTCTTAAACTGGGTAGGGAAAAACGAATATTTTTCATCAGCAGGTCTCTACAGCATTCTATTAGAAAAAGATAAAGATGACACAAGAAACTGCTCGCCTCAGGTTAATCACAAAGAAACAGGTATTGATTCAATTTCTTATTATCCAGAAGATTAATAAAGCAGCGAATCTGACAATTAAGTACGCAATCCTTCAAGTCAGATTGAGAAGATCATATCGACAAAGACCAAGTTGTGGAAAATTAAGCAGAGGCAGGGAGTGGGACAAGAAAACCATGCACACAGTGAATCCAACTAGAAATAAAAAAAAAGGTCACCAACAGAAATCCAAGTGAAAAACAAAAGGTCAAGATGAAAGGGAGAAAGTCATGACCAACTCAGTGCGGTATAAATAAAATCGTGGCTCATGAAAAACTCTCTAACCTAATCTTACCAACGAGACATGAATTGAGCCACATATATTTTGTTTGACGAGAATTGCAGAAACTATCAAATAAATCCATGTATATGCTGCTTATATCCATTATCCACACCACTTACCCTACTTTTTCACCCAAAAGCCTAGATCTGACCACTGACAACACAACCAAAAATTTAAGTCCAAGCTAGACAATATGTTCTATGCAATATGTCAAAAGAACAGGAATCGAATACTCCACCAATCCATAGTTATCCTTACAATGCACCGATGATGCCATTACCCTATGAATTCTGACAGTTCTTTTTCTTTGGTTCACCTCACTTTCTTTAATGCTGCAACAGCTTTGTTCCCTTCGCTAAAAAGGGGTCGTTGAAAAAAAAAAGAAAAAGAAATGGCTTACATGTTCATCACTCATCTTTCTGAAACAAAATCTTTTTGTCCAAATTGACTCGGCTTCTTCAGCTGCTGGAAGCACCAGCCTCTCCACATTCAGTGAACAAAGTAACCCCTCAATACAAGAGAATAGTGCTTGGAAGTAACCCTGGAAAAAATGTATAAAGAAGTCAAAATATTTCAAGTAAAAACAAACACGAAGGAAAGAGGATCCTAGGGACTAGAAGCCAGAGACTGAAAATAACAGCAGAATTTCTCACTTTTCCCTGATGCTCTCTACTTGTAGCGACCAAAGGAAGCTCAGCAACCTCCCTCCCAAAAATCCTAAGAAGACCAGCTGATACAACAACAGACCTGCACATGAACCCAACGTTTTACCATAAGGTATTGCTCGTGATATCATGGTAGGGAAACAGTTACATATCAGATTGCGTGACAAGCAGAACTTTAACACACTAACAAACTTACTTCACTGTTAAAACTACGCAATACATTCCACCAAATTCTTGACCGGAAATATTCCTCCTACAACAAATTTAAAGAACAATTAGAGTACATGTAAGCATGAGAAGAAGCATCAACCCAAATGAACAATCATATTATTGTGTATTTCTGTTTCGAAGAATGTGACCCAAAGCACACTCGAATACAGAGAAGTGGATGCAAGATGCATAAAACAAGCCACAATTCCAACAGCAATCTTCTTGAAACTAATCTGACAGCTGCTTTTCATTTACAAGTATAAATTCTTGAAGGAAGAAGAGTTCTCATTCCTTTTACAGAAATTTCACCTCTTTCAAACGGGATTTTTTATAATACTGAATTCAACATTACCAACATGGAGTTCCAATAAAGACAACTATTGGGATATACATATTCTTGAAGTTAATCTCCAAACTTTCAAAAAACAAAGCTGCAGTGAAAATGGACAAAATTGTGCAGGATGTTAAAAAATAGCCCCGATATAGCCCCGATATCCCCTGTTCTACCATAATATAGTGGATGAAATTGAAAGAGAACTTGAATGCAATACCATTATAACCAACTATCAAAAATGCGGATCTCTATCTGACAAGTAAAGGTCCAAACCACTGGGAGCTAAATCAAAGCATGTGATAAGAGCCTAAATCGTAAGTGCGGGACAATGGCACAATGACCAGATGCTTTTCATGTTAGTCAATATTCAACCCAAAAGCTTGAATTAGAAGAGCAACATGCAGAAGCAATATAATATATCAAATGCCACAGTAAAGATTCCAAACAAACAAAAACTGAAAATAATGAAACTAACAGAAATGACAGTTTCAGAACATTTACATGCAGGTATTAAGAGCATAGAGCATCAGTATAAGAACATACCCATAAACCATGACAGGTATGAGATCACGACCTGATGCTACAGCAATAGGATCAAAACACTCCTGCCACATGGGGTCAAATTTACAACACGTGAGAAAAAGTCCAGTTATCATCAAAGATTAAAACCATCCATGCACATAATTTTGTAAATTTCAGTTGATGCCCCCACTACTAAGTGTAGATAGCATGTATTCTAAGTCGCTCAGAAAATCAGATGCAGAACAACACGTTTTATTCTTTTCTCGGTTGGGACAGAATATACACTTTATACAGAAAGAATCGCCCAAAGATAAAAGAAAATCA